CACTAGGAGGAGAACCTTCCTCGAGGACCAGTCTGCCCATGTTACAGATGGAGCCAAGGGGAGACCTGCATGAGGCCTGTTACCCCAGCATCTCTCGGTGATAGAAAGCCCTCTTTGAAGAAGGGACGACTAGAAAGGGTGAGGGGAGTTCAGGTGGCGTGGTTTACACAAACCATTCCTTGGGGTGCAGGACCCCAAAGGAATTCCTGTTTGGGTTTGAAGGTTTGGAGGTCACCTGGGGATTTGGGGAAAACATCTAGAAAGTTGCGATGGGAACAGAGGGCGATGGATTGGTATCCTGGGTCCCCATGAAGCACAGAGGGAAATCCAGCCTTCCAGACCCTTGAGTCCCGTTCCTATGGCTCATGTAGAATTTCCACCATTCACAGCTCCACGTTTCTTCCCCGTGAGGGTCAGCTCTCCGCTCAGCAGCTTGGGGCAAATGCTCCAAATGCCATGCCACAGACTGTGCCTGATGGAGAAAAGTCTTCGCCTGAGCCAAAATGAGAATAGCTTCCAATGTAAAGACTTTTTTATTAGGCCAAACCTGAGATTATGTGAGTATCCCGCCCCCCTTTTTTGTTAATTAAAATAATCTCCTTTCCTACATAACAAGGATACCATACACAGTAAAAATTTCAGTAGAGAGGACATATTTGGGTGCCCCCAACTTCGTGAAAAACCATCGTCGTAACCCTACAGCATAACCTCCCCCATAGTTTTTTAAAGAGTGTTTCATCGGTGAAATGCATGTATTATCATGCTAACATTTTAAATGTGGCAGTATCTTAACTGCCCAAGGCTGGGAGATGTTAGAATTGGTCTGTGTTCCTGATAGCTTGCTTACAAGGCACAAAGTCATCTCAAACCAGTTTAAGAACAAAAATGGAATTAATTGGAAGGAATTAATGGGAAAGGCCCCCCAGCGTGCTGAAATCAGGACCCGGGGTGCCCAGTGGCCCACATAGCTGCTCTCCACCCTTTGGGTCATGGGGATCTCTCATCTCTGTTTTTCTGAACAGATCTACCCCTTCCTCTGTATTCTCTGTTTCCCGTTCCCTGTCCTTATCAGCCACGACTTCCTATGACCTCACATGAATCGCTCCTCTGTCCCAGGTCTCCATTTCTTGGGGAGAGAGTATAAGGGGTCTGGTCAAGATAAGGTGTGGCTACTGCTTGGTCCAGTCAGCTGTGACTGAGCTGGGTGTGGGTGACAGCACTTACCTGCGCAAACCAATATACTCTTGAGAGTGAAAGGGGGTTTCTCTGGAGAATGACTCTAAGACGACAGGTCCAAAAGCAGGAGTGTCCCCAGGTAGCTGCCCTGTATGCCCCCTCCCCCCGCCTCCGCCATATAGAACATGGGTCTTCAGGGACTTATCCAAGTGGGCAGGGAGGAATGAATTCCACAGGGGAGGAGGACATCATTTGGGGGCGGAACTCTTTCAAAGATGGCTGAGCGTCAAGTCAGATAAAAGTGATGCTTTTTCACATATTTGGTATTACTGAAGAGGGTAGCAGGAGGCAAAACCCTGCCCTGAGGTTGCCTCCTAGGAAGAGACCGCTCGGTACTCTGCTGCTTTGAACCATGAATCTGTGGGCTCAGCTGAGAGAGAGATGGGGGAAATGTCCCTTGAGAGGCCAGCAGATGTCCCACTTTCTCCTCCTGGGTGACCCCCAGGGCACAGAGACCTGAGAACACGGGTGTGTGACTTGGCTCAGTTCACGCATGTTCTCCCCCTCCCTGCCCCCCACCCTATCCACCCTCCAGTGCCAGCAGTCCTGCCCCCAGATCCCTTCTGCAGACACCCTGCCACACCTCTTAGCTACTCTCGTCCAGCTGTTAATGAATATGTTATCCTTGGCCCCAAAATATGTCTTCAGTGCCTTAGGAGCTCAAGAACCCTGTGCAGCACTTCTAACCCCAGGAGCCCAGCACGGTGCTGAGCGCAGAGTCCCTATTCCAAATGCCTTTTGCCTTTTGTCATACAGCAAATCCCAGGGTAGCCGACATTCATTAGTATCAGCAATTTCCATTGTCTCCTCTGCACTATATGATGTCTGTGCAGTGAGAGCTGGCATCAGGGGAGGGGACCCTGTGAGGAGACTGCGAATTCTCAATGACAGTTTGCAGGGGGAAAGTGAATGACACAGAAAAAGAGGGGGAATTTATATTTGGAACTAAGTGGCTGTGTACAGGAAGTTAAAAAAAAAAAAAAGGTTAGCCCTTACAACTCTATTTTTATACATATTACCACCACGGTGACCCTGAACGAGAAACAGAAATTTGATTCTGACTCTCTTCAAGGATTATTGCCTTTTGCAATGGAAAATGACAAGTCAGGGGTGCCTGGGTGGCTCAGTGGGTTAGGCCTCTGCCTTCGGCTCAGGTCATGATCTCGGAGTCCTGGGATCAAGCCCCGCGTCAGGCTCTCTGCTCAGCGGGGAGCCTGCCTCCTCCTCTCTCTCTGCCTGCCTCTCTGCCTGCTTGTGATCTCTCTGTCAAATAAATAAATAAAATCTTAAAAAAAAAAAAGAAAATGACAAGTCATCAAATGTTTCCTCTCTGCCGTGGGCCGCAGAGATGACCAAAACGGCAGAGGCCAGGAACGTGGCCCTGCTGCTTAAAGTAATATTATCTCTTGGCTATTTTGCTAAACTGAGTGCATCTTTTTTTTTTTTTTTTTTTTAAAGTCAGAATGAAGACATCTTCCTGGATATTCTGCCGAGCTTAACAAGCAGGTACCTTCTTCATTGAGGACCCTGTGACTTTCTCTAGATCTCCATGGGCTAGGCAGGGGATGGAAGGATTTTTCTAGTCAAGGAATATGCCCGCTGAGTGCCAAAGCCAGATCCCAGTCTTTATTCCAGAAGCGGTCTTAATGGAACATAAATCTGGGAATCAGCCACTTTGGGGGGCTGGCACAGAAAAATTAACTCAAGGAGACAATTTAACTGTTAATGGGTGTTCTCTCTGGCAGGTAATCTGAGCTGAGCGTTTGCTCTGAAACACCCAGGTCGGTCCTCTCCGTGACAGCTCACGCTTCAGGGAGTGCACGGATCTGTGCACTGACCTTTTTCTGGTTTTCCTCCATGGCAAGGCCCTGAGCGGCGTAGCCAGGAGCGGCGGTGTAGCTGATGCGATAATCCCGCTGCTAAAAGGGGTCTCCTTGTTTAGCAAGAGAGAGGGGAAAGCAGCTCATCATTCTGCCGTCAGTAGGGTTCCCGGGTGTATCAGGCTACGTATTTTTCAGTGTACCTTGTTCCAGAAATCATTAAGAATTTCAAGACAGGGGGGGCGCCTGGGTGGCTCAGTTGGTTAAGCGTCCAGATCTTGATTTCGGCTCAGGTCATCATCTCAGGGTCATGAGATCGAGCCCTGCATCAGGTTCCATGGGAGCCTGCTTAAATTCTCCCTTCTCTCTCTCTCTCTCTCTGTCTCCCTCCTTCCCTCTCTCCTCCTTCTCACCTCCTTCCCCTCTCAGAACATGCCCCTCCAAATCCTCGTACTCTTGCTCTCTCTCTCTCTCTCTCTCTAAAAAATAAATAAATAAATAAATAAATAAATAAATAAATAAAATTCAAGATAGCCACAGTGGAGCACGGGCATAGGTTGCACACCCGAGAAGCTGCTCCTGCTTTGAGAATTAATTGGTGCTTAGTTTCAGAATGCAGGGGCCTCCTTAGGAAGGCTTAAAGGAAATGAAGGAATGCAAACAAACGGAAAATCCGGCTGCTGTGGACTGCCTGTAGCCCAGCACCAGCCCCTCAGCGCCTTTGGCGTCTTAGGAAGAGAAAACTCACCTGCCTGATTCATTGCGATCAGTCTGCCTTCCAGAAGGCGCCCGGGATCCTGTAATGCCTGTCCCGGTGGGCATCGTGGGAGGGGAGAGCTGAGATAATGGGTTCCTTTGGCCTAATCCCCGACTTCTGCACTCAAGCAATCCAGCCCCACTAGTCAGAGTTAACACCGTCTCAATGCACCTTTACTTTGTCTTCTGTGTTGGTCCCCTGAGTAGACTGTGAACACCAGGAGGGCAAGGCTATGCCCCTTATTGCATCATTCTGGTCCCAGGACCTAGCACAACGCCTGGATCATAGTGGTACTCAGTCTGTGTCTGTTGGAAGGATCAGTGGATGTACCTCACGGTTCCTACTGTACACTTCATTACCCACTGATCTGTGTCATTTTGTGCCCTAGAGTAATTGCTCCCATCAGTTCTGAAACGCTTTGACATCAGGCAACCTCTTGTCCTATCTTCTCCGTCTCCCACACTGTTCCACCCCTGCTCCATGTTCAAGGAATGTCCTTGACTAAATAGATCATGAGCATTTTACACATGAAATTTCCTGCCGTCACAGCATAGATAACTTAAGAATTCAGTTACGTGCCGTGTGTGCATAAGTTACTCTAGATGCTTTCTGCTGATTGGCGAGGTAGGTAATAACAAAAGCTAGACATCATCTGACCTACAGGATTTCTGGCTCAGAGGAAGATATCCAACTGTGATATAAGTGTCTCCCTCACAATCTTAGTTTCACTGATTTTGGAAACAGTATTGCTGGAAGACTTGGAAGGACCAGTTGTGTTCAGTCTTCTGTGGTGTGAGTGCCTTATCCATTGAAGTATACATAAACGTGTACAATCCCGTCTGTTGTCATAACAACCATGAAAATGTGTGGCGCCGAAGGAATTGATTTGCCATCATTCTTTCCTGTGATGCGGCTTGTCTGCAACTGCTTATTCAAGCTGGACTTTGTACTGTAGATGCTCAGTGATAAAAATCTTATTGGAATACTCCCGGACAACATTGGTTGGTTGGTTTTTTTCCTGATACTTTGCCCACTGGATCTTCGGTTTCCTGTGTCCAGTCCTTCTAACGGATTTTTCCCCTGCCATGTTGTTTGCCCAGCTCTGCAGACCTTGATGGCATTGAAAATATTTTCAGCATAATTCAGAGTCATTTATTTTTCTCTTTTCTTTCACATACCTTTTGCAGACAAGAAGTCCCAAGCTGTCTCATAGTCCCCAACCTCCCAATTTGGGCGACCCGGTCGAGCATTTATCAGAGACATCTGGTGATTCTTTGGAAGCCATGTCTGAGGGAGAAGCTCCAAGTCCCTTCTCCAGAGGCAGCCGAACTCGAGCGAGCCTTCCAGTGGTGAGGTCGGCCAACCAGACGAAAGAAAGATCTCTGGGTAAGCTCAGAGGGTAGTTTTTGATGCCTGTTTTTACTGCACATGTGTCTTTTTATACTTCTGAACCCATATCCCAGCGTCCAAATGTTCATTAGATCTTGTTTGTGAGAACACAAGTCCTGAGAAACTTGACAATGAACATCGAGCTGAAGAAACAATAAGTCCAAAGTGTCTTTGGGGCTGGGCCGCGCGCCTGTTAGTGAAAACCATAAACACAGGGCTCTTCCCACCACCCACGGAAGGACAGAGGTCTTGGTGTGCAATTTGCTACAGCCTTTCCCTTCAACAAGCTTTTAAAGGAAGCGGAAGGATTCTGTTGTTCTGTCCTTACCACTTACCATTTGCTTTTTTTTAATGTTGGAAATTCGGTTTCTGTGTCGCTTTGCTTTTTTTCAAAAAAATGTTTGGGCAATAAGGATTTAGACCTCTCTGCTGATTTCATAAGCTCAACCTGCTGTTTCAAGGTTCCAGACCAGTACTTGTTTTTGTAGATAGATGGGATCACGGGGTAAGAGGGAACAGGAAGAGATCAACCCACAAAAGGCTTTGGGGTCTGGCCCCTGCACAAGATAGTGCGAAGACGCCACACGAAACCAAGCAAATGTCTTGCTTGAAGGGGAAAAAGCAGTGAACGCTTTGGGGGAAGAAGGCTGATTTTGATTTTGTTCCTTTGGTTGCAGATGACAAGAAGACTGGTTGCAAACATTCTCCTCACTGGCCTTAAGGAAAGAAAAAAAAAAAAAACAAACAAACCCCCAAACTATTATTATTTGTATTATCGGTATGACAGTTTAACATTAAGTTTTATATAGATCCTTTTAGATTAATAATCCAGGGTCCTCATTTTATAAATGAGAGAAGAAAACCGCAGAGGAATCTGCTTTTTCTTTTCTTTTTTTGTTTTTTGGGTTTGGGGGGGTTGTTTTTGTTTTTATTTTGGGGGGTCACATAGTTCGATGGCAGAAGCGGGCCTCCAGTTTCTCTTCGTCTCCTGCCCAACTGAAGGAGTGGGACACACAAGGGTGTGATACACCTGAGGAACATCCTGGGCCAGGACAGGGTCAAGAGGACACAGGCTTCCACACCAGCCCCAGGTTGGGGCATTGCATCTGGGTTCCAGAGCTCTGTGCTCTCCTTGCCCCACTCAGCTTGCGGGAGCAGGAGCCAATCCCGGAGCGGAATGTGTCCTTTGTGCTTTGCAGGAAATGAGGGAGCTTCGGGTCCCTGGAAAGATAGCCTGTGCTTTGCAAAATAAAATGAAGATAAGAATGAATGCCCAGGTGCCTCCCTCTGTACCTGAGTTACCTGGGGAATGCCGAGCCTGAGATAATGGTTCTTTTGTCCTGCCCGGCAGGAGTTTCCTCCAGCAGCCAGACTCCGCGGCGGGCTGTCCAGGTAGACACTGGCAGCGTTCTGGAAGCAGCCTGGGGCACAGAGGCTGTGGGAGCCGGTGGCAGCCTTCGCCTCGAAATTGCTGAGAGTGGCTGGTGTTTTTTCACCAAGCGGCTGCATGCGCCTCTGCAAAGCTCTTGAGTTTTACTGAGCACAGCCAGGTGTGCAAGTTCTGGGGAGCTCAGGGTCACTGCAGATTTAAAAACGTATCCGAGGTGCTTATTCTTCTAGCTCAGCGATGCATTTTTGGCCTGTGATTTTTGCAGCTCTTGGGTAGAAAGGAAGGAAGGCGGTGAGCAGAGAGGGGGAGGGGGAATGAGAAGTTTGCCCCCAGGCCGGAGGATCCATGGTTGGAGAAAGGGGGCTGGGGCTGGACCAGTGGGGTTGGCTCTGCCCTTGACCGCCTCTTTGTGGCCAATTTGGGAACGTCCTCCTAGCTGCACCTGGCCTTGTGGCGTAATTCAGTTGAGCCGGGATGGGAAATAAACAGGAAAGTGTGAGCCAGGGAGAGTCTAAACACAATCTCCCTGCCAGGGGCCTTGCTCTGCTTTGTGTTCCGGAAAATCCTGAGTGTGCGTGTGTTTATTTAATACGGACAAGGCAGGCCCTGGGGAAGGGCAGGCTCCCCAGAGAGCCCAGAACCTGGAACGGTGGGTGTCCCCAGCAGGTGATGGTCGAGGAGCACAGCTATGAGTCTGCCTGCCCCAGAGGCCACAGATGGGGGGACTGAGCCACGACCTCCAGCAGACCCATTGTCGCTACCATTTGGAAGCCCCGCATAACGTTTGGGATCTGGACACTGTCACTTGATAGTCCTCTGCAGAATTTTAAGATCTGCCCCGAAGCTCTGTTGATCCTGTCTTTATTTAAAACTCTCATAGTTTGTTCATGATGGATTTTTGGCATTAATTCTGCGTTTTAAAAATCTCACCTGAAAATACTGTTTGGCTTGATGACTCACTTTTGGGAGGCCCTTTTGGTTTTGCCCCTGACAGGGGGCTCCTCTCTTCCTCATGCCAGTGGCTGTCCCCTGTGTCACCCCAGGAGCAGCACAGGCGTCTGTATGGTCTGCGGCCTCAGAGGCCAGAGTGAGGCTGAGCTTCTGCACGGGCACGAGGAGCCTCGGGAGACGGGACTCCCCCAACTCGGGCAGCACCTGGAGGAGGCCTGGACACCGGGACAGTGGGACCAGGACCGCCCAGCATCCTGAAACCACTCTCGCTCCCCGGCGGGGAGGAAACCTGTTCTCACTTCAGGCAGCCTGTGCCTGGAGATAAACCTGCCTGCTTAATCACGTTTCCACCAGACTGATTCCTCCTTTCTATTACTTTAGCATATTTAGGGGGTGTGAGGAGCCCGGGAAGGCTGGGCATGGTGTGTGTTGCATGTCGCAGAGGCTTTCAGAAGACGTGGAGGAGAGAGAAGGCTGTGGGTGTGGGGGGCACAAGGCATTCATTGTTCAGCACAGAGAAGTTAGACATCATTGGTATCTGTGTTACACTGTCCCTGCATGCAGGATGTGAGCTGCCCGTCTGGGAGGGGACTCTGGGACCACAGGTTTGGCCAAATGACAGCAAAACCCACAAGTCCTTTCCTATGCCCAGGGCAAAGCTAGCCACTCTTGGAGATTTACGAAGCAGAAAAGCAAAGAGAGAAATGCGCTCGGGGTCTCTGACTCCTCACATAGCCAGGTCCCAACGATGTGCCAATCGGTATGCCCACTCTTGCCGTGGTGGCTTCCCCGCCCACGCTGCCCATCCAGAGCCCAGAAGAAATCTCTCTTGGTGGAATCGATACTGCTTCTCTTTCCCTCTCTCTTCAGAAAAGAGAAAGTGAGAGGAAGTCTGCAAAGTAAAGTCAAAACCGCTTTGCAGTAGAGTTTGGTTTTAGAAATCATTTCCATGGGGAAAAAAAAAATGTCCCACTGATATTAGGTCTGAGTCTTAATGATGGAGTCGTTTGCTTTTCATCATGGCCATCTTCGAAATGCCTGTCTGGAACACGACCAGGAGCAGGGGCTGGGGTCTGGCTGCTCCACAGTTGGCTTTGGGGAAAGGGTAGCCACAAGATGTTCCCACCCTTCTGTGTGCCCTCAGGAATTTGAAAATAAAACTCCTGTGAAAACAAGAACAGCAGTAGCAGCTTCCTCCTAGCTGCCGCCAGATGCCTTTGTTGACCGGATTCTCAACACTTAAGTTTAGGAAAGAGACCTCCCATACCAGCCCGGCAGCCACAGGTGGTGCCATGTCTGTAACAGATTGCCTCCCAAAGACTCAGCCCCGACAAACAAGAATGATTTTAAATGGCTCGGGAGGATTTTAGACTAATTGAGGGAGAATCTTCTCAGTGCCTGTGAATGACCGAGCATCTCCCTGTCTGTTCTTTTATTCCAGAATGGTAACAGTGAGGGTGATCATTCTCTGAGAATGATTTGGGGGGAGGGACGGAAAGTTCATGCTTGCTAGGATCTCCCCTTCTGTGCACAAGACTGAGGAGGAGGTTCCAGCAAAGGATTGAGGAAACCACCCCCATCTACAAAGTGGAAAAGCCAGGAAGGGGGTTGGGGCAAAGACGCTAAGACTTGCATTTGGGTACTCGATGATTTGAGCATGAAGGCTTAGCCCTTGGATAGTTAAAAGAGAAATAAATTTCAGACAAATAAAAAGAAACATTGCTCTATAGAATAAGTGCAACATTTATGAAATGTGTTTTCCTAAGCACCAGGAGCGATTGAAATGTCATATAAAAGCAAAAATTTACAGAAGAGAGTTTTGTAGCAGGTCAAGAGGTTTGGGGCACATTCCTGATCTTTTTTAGGGTGCGACCCCAGAAGAGTATTGTCTCTAGCATGGAACTAAGTGGACAGGCATGGGTGGGTCTGGTGACTGACTGGCATTGCCCACTGCGACCTTCTTGTGAGCCTTCCTTCACTTCCGGGGCTGGAATGCAGAGTCGTTCTAGAATATCAAATACTCTGGGTTCCAAAAGTAGGGACCAAGGCATTTGCGGAAGCTTTTGGATTTGTCATTTGTCGTTGTCCCAGGGTGTAGTCACGGAAGCTAGCGTTGAAAGTCAAAGTGCAAGGCACCCATTTTTCGGGTGCGGAGGGGCACAAATGGGGCCCGAGTCTCTGACCCTAGGAGTAGCTTCCTGCTCAAGAGAGCAAGGCTTTGGAGTCACAGGGGTGGGGGAAGGGTGGATGGGGGAGAGGAGGGGGGGGGGGATGGGTAGAGGGTGGCGGCTGGGCAGGAAGCTTCCTCCTTGTCAAACTGGTTCTTTGGTGTCCCAGTTCTGTGGTCAAAAGTCAGCCCAATGATCCTGCAAGCCGTTTAGTAAATCCGTTTTTGCTTAAATTAGCCCGAGTCGGTTCAGGCCCTGCAGCTGAAGCCTGCCTGATTCAGAGGAACTGATTTCCTATATTTGTTAAAAATGCAGTTCCACCTGTTCTGTATGTTTCAAGAAAATACAAATACCGGTGGGTACAAACCCCTGACTTCTAGAGACTTGGCAGTGAACTGGAGAAGGACCTGGAGATCCGGTTTTTCGACTGTGTTTCTTAGAACTTTGGCGTTCTGTGGAATTTTCTCACGAAATGCTGCACTTTTATA